ACATTGCGTAACTTCCCTCTCCTGGTCTGGCGGCTCTTACAGGCATGCACCCTCCTCGGGAGGCTCAACATTCACTTCCCACCCCAAATAGCAGCTGTGATGGTGACCGCTGGGACTTTTTAAATTTTTGCTGTTTTCTGCCACCCAGCATCCCCTGTGACAATGACAGCCTCATTTTGCTTTGGTGACAGATGTTGTCCCAATTCAACCCAGCTGGTTGTGGTAAAGATGACACCCTAGGTACATCAAAGACAGACACCTGACCCAGGGCCAGGGGCAAAGGGCTTGGCCTTGCAGATACCCAAGGGAGAGCATGCTGAGCAGAAGGGACTGTTAAGGACTGGATCCTCTACCCCGCACCCCAGATTCCCAAGCTGAAGCTGTAATTCCCAAAATGTATTTGGAGGCAGAACCTATAAGAGGTTATAAAGGCCATAAGGGTGAAGCCCTGCTCCCATGGGACTGCATGCATGTGGGAAGAGACAACACTGTCTCCACCATGGGAAGACAGCTGGAGGGCAGCTGTCCGAGGCTGCAGAATTCATCTACACTTTGACCTGGGTCTTCCAGCCTGCCGCACTGCCTGCGAGAAGCACGTTTCTTTCGTTTAAGCCGTGCAACCTGTGGGATTCTGTCATGGCAGCCCAAGCTGACCAACACAGGTCCCAGCAGGGCAAAGGCCCAAGGGTGGAGCTCAGGAGCCTTGAGTTAAGGCAGAAAGGTCTGGGCCAGAGGGGGCTTCACAGATGTGGTTTTACTTAGTGAGGCGGGTCGGGAGCAGAGCAGGCTGTTCGCTTGTTATTTAAACAGACACTGGGTCCTGGAGGGCTGGCGTAGTACAAACCTCCAACTATCTTGAGACGAGAGGCCGGTGGACAGGGTGTGAGGCGAAGGAAAAGAGTGGGCTCAGGGATGACCAGAGGACTCGTTCTGGGCACCAGCAAGGACAAGGGCAAGGACAAGGACCCGGGCAGGCGGCGCAGGCGCAGGTGAGGTTCCAGACGTCCAGGTTGGGGTGGGCCAGGAGGCTCACAGCGAAGGTGGCTGAGCCGGAGCAGCTAACCTAGGCAAGAGGGCGCCCAAGAGGGCGTCTGGACCACCCAAGAAGGGCCAGGTGCTGAGATGAAGCGCCTGATGGGGGCTGGCCTCCGCCGGTCCCGGGAGAGTGCGGCCAGACGGGATGGCCAGGCTAGGCGCGAGAGGAGGACGAGGCGGAACCGGGAGGACGGAAAAAGGCACGGCAGAGAGACGGCCTGGTGGGGCGCGGGTGGAGCCGCAAGATCCCCGCAGGCTGCCAGCGGCTTCGGGTCTGGAGGAGAGCGGGGGTGGGGCCTGCAGGGGCTGCAGGGTGGGGGCGGGGCGGGGATAGGAGAGACGTGGTAGCAGGTAGCCGAGGGTGGGAGACCGCCGCGGCGCACTCGCTCCTGGGGGGGGTGGTGGTGGTGGTGGTGGTGTCTCCTATCGGCGACTTCTTTTTCCGTTGTCGGGGAGGGTGCCAGAGGAGGCGAGGGCCACCGAGAAGACGACTGGGCTGATACTGGCGACTGGGAGGGGCGGGAGCCAAAACACCCAGGTGACGATGGGCGGGGTCTCCCCGGGGGGAGGTGGAGGCCGGGTTGAGACCCCGGGACTGGGAGGCGGAGAGAGCTAGCCGAGGAACGGAGGTGGACCAGCGCCTGGCTCCATGGGTCGGACCCGGGGCCAAGGGAGCGGGGAATCTCGGGGGGCCTGGCCTGGGGACGGGGATCTGCTGCAGAAACTCCACAGGGCCTCTCCCTAGGGTGACACCGGAGCAGACTCCAGGAGCAGAAGATGCCCAGACGCGCGCACCCTCGCAGCTGCGCACTGCGCGCGGCTGACCCGCACACCGGGTGCACCTGTGCAGGGGCGGGAGCGCCGGGCCGGAGCTCAGGGCCGGCCGGGTGGAGGCTGCTCGTCTGGGAAGCCGCGCGCCGGGAGTGCCTAGCGCTGCATGTACAGAAATAAATCCACAAAGCACCCGTGGGCCTCTGCTTGGACATACGGGGGTCTGAATAAAAGAGCATTGGCGATATTAGGAGGAAGAAAGAAGGGAAGAGGGAGGGAGACCGAAAGGAAGTGAGGGTGGGTGGGAGAGGAAATGACCGGAGCTTCATTCTGAGCTCCGTTGCCGGTGCTGCAGCCCTCACTGGTGTTCTCAGAATTTAGCCAACAGCGGGTCCTCGGCGTCCATCATAAAACCCGTCATCGAGGGCTGACGGGCTGCAGCTGATGAGGTATAATTCGCTGCGTTGATCGGTATTTGAGTGCTTTGTGGTTAATCTCTGCCTTTGTTTCTATTCTGGCCACGTTCCAAGTAAGGCATTAATAGATCTCTGATGGTATGCAATTCGTATTCAGTCATCTTAGCAGATGAAACCCAGAACATTCAAATATGCTTAGAAAACTGGACTAAATTGTATTTACCTTGACTATATAAAAATACCTAAAGGTATCCTAGGCTGATGGGAAGTTTCTAAAGCTGGATTGTGGCATTGTACACTGACAATGGGTGGACTTTATGAAAAGTAAATGATATGAGCTGTAAAATGGAGGGTGGAGAAAGCAGTATGTTGGTTTTTTTTTTTTTTTTTTTTTTTTTTTTTTTTAATGCATGCTTTGCTGGGAAGACTTAGGCTAGGCTGCGAAGGTGCTGGAGAAAGTTTCAAGAAAGGAGGTGGGAATGGTGAGACCCTCATTTAGCATTTCGATAGGGCAATTACTGCACCTAAACATACTACTTGAAGCCTTGGGTTCCAGTCTGGCTTTGCACTGGATTCCACCTCCTGCTAATGGTCACCTGGGAGGCAGCAGGTGATGGCTGTGGGCTCTTGCCACCCACCTGGCACTGCCCCATCTGCTGCAGGCATTTTAGATTTAAAAAGATAGATTTCTGTCTCTCTGCCTTTCAAATAAATAAATAAGAATTTATATATATATAAGCTAGTTCATTCTAGGAAAATGGACTGTAATGTAACCATAACAAACTAGAAGGAAGAGGAAAAGTAGTCTAAATTAACAGCTCCTTTATCTGATAATGGAAAGTCGCTCAGAAAAAAAAATCAAAATTGATAAACAAAGGTCAGTAAGTATATTGTTATTTGGAAGTTTGAATTTTGGAAGTAATCGCCTACAGAAACTAAAAACATTGATGGTCAAAGATTGTCTTTAGGGAACTTCCCATGCATTTCTGAATTGGCTTTGCACTGGTGTTGTCTGGATAGAGGAGCTGGTGAAATGATGTATCCCATTCCCATTGTCCTGCACTTGGCATGCTCCAAGTGTGTGTGTGTGTGTGTGTGTGTGTGTGTGTGCTGGTCTGTGCAAATGTGTGCCCAGGTACATATGTGTTTTAATGACTTAAGAGATTCATACAACCAGAAGGAAAACTAGCCTCAAGGTAAAATTACAAAGATTTCCTGTATACATTTACAGTGATCAATGACTTGAAATAGTTCATCTTTCATTGTTGCCCCGGCCCGCGGGGTAATCAACCAGGACATGAGGAGGGCAGACCTGAATGGAGAGACAAACCAGACACGAGAAGGGAGACCAAGACAGTACTCTGATCAAGGTCTCACTTTACTGGAGAAGGAGGTAGCTTACATAGTACAAGGCGAGGATTGTAACAGTCGAGGGTAAGCAGGGGTCATCTCACAACATAGATCAAAGGAATAATTTCACAGGAATCAGTATCAATTTGACAAAGGGAGTTACAGCAAGGTCTTACAGCTACCAGACGTGCTTATCACGGTACAAGAAAGAGAGCACTGAAGCCAGATGGCCAAGCGCTAACCATATCAGTGAGCTGTACAAATGGAATTTTCTAGTGAATCCTCCTTACAGGAACACAGTTGAAGGTTAGTCTAAACAAAGGCCTATACAGGGAAACCAGCACAGTGGCTCCCAACAATTGTTAAAGTAAATATTAAAATTTGATGATATGGGATGGTTTATATTTAGGAAACTAGTTGATTCAAGTTATATGACATTTCTGTATTTCAAGTATCTTTCTAAATCTTTATGACTTTTATTGCTGAATCACCTGTTAAAGATCCTGGTTAAAATTAAATTTTAAAACTTTAAAATGTGATTTTTAAAGTGGTCACACTGAAGTTGTATCCAAGTGTATCAAGTAAAATTGAATAATCATGGGGCTGGCACTGTGGCGTAGCAGGTAAAGCTGCCGCCTGCAGTGCCAGCATCTATATGGGTGCCGGTTCGAGTCCTGGCTGCTCCACTTCTGATCCGGCTCGCTGCTATGGCCTGGGAAAGCAGTGGAAGATGGCCCAAGTTCTTGGGCCCCTGTTCCCACATGGGAGATCTGAAAGAAGATCCTGGCTTCTGGCTTTGGATTAGCTTAACTCCAGCCGTTGCAGCCATTTAGGGAGTGAACCAGTGGATGGAAGACCTCTCTCACTCTCTCTGTCTCTCTGCCTCTGCCTCTCTGTAACTTTGCCTTTCAAATAACTAAATAGATCTATAAGAAAAAAAAAGATTTATTTATTTGAGTGGCAAAATTACAGAGAGAGGGAGATACAGAGAGTGAGGTCTTCCATCTTCCAATCTAAAGCCAGGAGCCAGGAGCCAGGAGCTTCCTCTGGGTCTCCCACGTGGGTGCAGGAGCCCAAGGACTTGGGTCATTTTCTAGCGCTTTCCCCAGCCATTAGAGAGCTGGATTGGAAGAGGGGTAGTCAGGACTTGAACCGGTGCTCATACGGGATGCCAGTGCCTCAGGTGGAGGCTTGGCCTACTATATACCACAGCGCTGACCCCTATCCTGGCTTTTTATACTTTTAATTTATAAATGCATAAAATCTTGTCTCCTTTGCCTTTTTTCTGCACAGAAAAAAAAACACCTTGTAGCTTTGCCCAATTTGCCTGGTGTGGAATCCCATAGATAACTTGCCCTAATAAACCCTTCTGTTTTTCTGTGGCGCTTCTTTCCTCTTCTTCACTCTCATGGCTCTTTCTCAATCCAGGGGATTTTCCATGCTGTGCTGGCATTCAGGAAGATGGCAGGCTGTGACCACAAGGTAAGTTGGAGTGGAAGTTAAGTATATAGCTACTAAACCCGGAGGTATATGCGCAGTAGGACGGACATCCCACCAACTACGAGTGAAAACCTCCCCCTGGTTACAAAAAAGGTTTTGTAAAGGAAGGGGGCAGGAATTAGGATGTGTTCTAGAAGAAATACTGACTTTGCCATTAGCCTGGGAATCTCAGCATTTATCTGGCTGAATAAAAACTGTTGAGCCCATCTTGCAGCAGTGTGTAAAACGTGTCAGCACTCCTTATAATTTCACTTAGACCAGACACAACAGCAGGACATCTGGTGAGAGATTGCTTTAATTTAATTCTGAATTTGCAAAATCCCCCAGAGTCCCTACATGAAAGAAAGCAGTGGTCTTGCAAGATCTAGTAAATGATTATATTTAATCAACGTGTAAAAATGTGAATTTTGCGAAAGATAGCCTCCCCAGCCTGCCCTGGAAGACAACATACCAGGGAGTTCTTTTTGGGATGGGGGCAGCCCTTCTGTAAGACATTAGCCCCAGGATGTGTAAATCATCCCTTCATATGACACATCTTGATCTCACATTTCTGCACCTCCGTGATCAACTTTGTGTTGAATAGCTGGGGAATAAAGATTTCAAGCCCCATTCAAGGCTATGTAAAATACATTGCAGTTTTGTATGTGTGTGTTCTGAGAAGCATGCCTTGATTAAAAAGAAAAATTCCACCTGCTCTTGTCTGGCATCCAGGAGAGGCAAGGAGGTGGAGCACCAGGCCTGAAACAGGCTCTCAGCATCCCAGCAGCCATCTTCGGTTTTCTGTTTGGTTCCTGAGTAAAACTTGAGTGCCATCTTTTGTCTTCCTGTATATTGGTTCTAATGCTTCCCCATCTCTAAAGAGGCTTAGTTCCTCCTCCTCACATCTGGACAAGCACCTGGTACTGTAGCAAGCTCTCCTGGGGCCCTGCATGAACAGAAGCTATTGTAATTAGGGCAATGATTTCTTGGATCCCAAACCATTCTACCTCATCACTTCTGATGTCAAGTTCTCTCCACATAAAACAAAGGTGGGAGGGTGTCTGGCATGTTTACTGAAGTCCTGTCGGGTCTCCTGGTCTCCAGCTTAGACTTTTCAGCCTGCAATGTTGCATGAGCTAATTCCTTACAATAAATCTCTTTCTATGTATGCTTACCTCATATTGGTTCTGTTTCTCTGGAGAACCCTGACTAAAACAAAGGCAATATATATTAATTTTAAAAACTCAAAATATCAAAAAATCATCTCTCACCTCAATTCTTAGAAATAGCTAAAGAAATTTAAATATATTTCTTCCCAATCTTTTTTCTAAGTATAACTGTATAGTATCATAATATGTACTTTTGTAATCTACTTTCACATTATTACATTTTTGGGAATATGCTTTAAAACATTACTTTTCTTCAAATGAAAAAATACAAGTGAGGGGCTGGTGCTGTGATGTATTAGGCTAAACCTCCACCACCGTCTGCAGCACCAGCATCCCATATGGGTGCCGGTTCATGTCCTGGCTGCTCCACTTCTGATCCAGCTCTCTGATTATGGCCTGAGAAAGCAATGGAAGATCACCCAAGTGCTTGGGCCCCTGCACCCACATGGGAGATGCAGACTAAGCTTCTGGCTTCAGACTGCCCCAGCTCCTACCACTGCAGCCATTTGGGGAGTGCACCAGTGGATGGAAGATCCTTTGTCTGTCTCTCCTTCTCTGTAACTCTGTCTCTCAAATAAATAAATAAATAAATAATATCTTAAAAAAAAAAAACAAGTGATACAAAAAAAGACCCACAAAAACAAAAAAAAAAGAGAAAAAGAAAAAAAAAACCCACAAAGAATAACATAAGCGAGCAACATTTGATGCATCCCTAAACATAGATAAAACAGAAGAAAATTTTTACAGAAAGCTTCTACGTTCATCCATCCCTGTAGTGAGAGAGACTCTCATCTCAGTGGGGACTGCGCCCCCTCCGGACCTCCTCTCAAAGTCCGTTCTCTCCCTCTAGTTTTGTCATGATCCTGTCTCAGCTTGAGCCACAGCTCAGTGTGCTCAGATGGACAGTGCCACCCTTGCTGCCTTAACCACGCGTCTGGCTTCTGTGTGTGGATGGTCTTGTCCACCATGTTCTTTTTTTTTTTTTTAAGATTTATTTATTTATTTGAAAGAGTTACACAGAGAAGGAAAGGAAGAGAGAGAGGGAGAGAGGGAGGGAGAGAGAGAGAGAGAGAGAGAGGTCTTCCATCCGCTGGTTCACTCCCCAATTGGCCACAACGGCCAGAGCTGAGCTGATCCGAAGCCAGGAGCCTGGAGCTTCTTCCAGGTCTCTCACGCAGGTGCAGGGGCCCAAGGACTTGGGCCATCTTCTACTGCTTTCCCAGGCCACAGCAGAGAGCAGGATGGGAAGTGGAGCAGCCGGGACTCGAACCGGCGCACCAGGCAGTGGCTTTACCCACCATGCCACAGTGCTGGCCCCCACCACGTTCTTGACAGCCACGTCCGCTGTGGAGCGTGGCAGAGGCACTGTTTATCCTTTCCTTTCCTTTTTGTTTGTTTGTCTTTGGTGAGCCAAACCCCAAATATGCCCAAAGTATGGGACCACCCACGTTTATCCTGCACAAACTTACCTGTGGGGATATAGCAAGGGTAGGACGAAAATGTTCTGCCGTGGGTGCAGGTGACAGGGAGGCACATTTCAGTAGAGAATGAAAAAATAATGACTTTTATTGAAAGGCTGACTGCGTTACCGCATGGTCTGACTGTTGTGAACAGTGTCGGTAGTGAAACCCTCTCCTCCCAGGGCGTGCTCTCCCTGTCACCCTGCTTCCTCCATGACACCCATCCTTCCTGGTCCCTGACATTTAGCCAAGGCCTGCAACTCAGCATAGGCCTCTCCTCTTCCTGGCAAGGTGGACCACGAGTTCTGTTGACACCCCATGTTTTTATCCCCCCCCCCACCATTGCTTTCCGTTATTGGGGGTTAAGAATAAAAATGTCCTTACTCTAGCTGCATTCCAGGTGATGGAAGCATCTTGATTTGCTCCCCCACAAAGCCTACATCTGGAAGGGCAGCTTCAGTTATGCGTGAGTCTTGATCCTGTATCTGATCCACTTGTAGAGTGGACAAGCTGGAGGTTAAGCAGGATGGGCATCCTGGCAACCTGGCCGCTGACATCGCCAACGTCCTCTGAAATCCCCTCACCTGTTTGGTACTGCTTTTGGCTTTTTTTTTTTTTTTTTTTTTGACAGGCAGAGTGGACAGTGAGAGAGAGAGACAGACAGAGAGAAAGGTCTTCCTTTGCCGTTGGTTCACCCTCCAATGGCTGGCGCGGCTGGCGCACCGCGCTGATCAAAGGCAGGAGCCAGGTACTTATCCTGGTCTCCCATGGGGTGCAGGGCCCAAGGACCTGGGCCATCCTCCACTGCACTCCCTGGCCACAGCAGAGAGCTGGCCTGGAAGAGGGGCAACCGGGACAGAATCCGGCGCCCCGACCGGGACTAGAACCCGGTGTGCTGGTGCCGCAAGGTGGAGGATTAGCCTAGTGAGCTGCAGCGCCATCCAGCTTTTTTTTTTTTTTTTTGTCAGTGGTAAGGGAGGTTCTCTGAAACTTTCTAGCATAGCAACTTTTACCTCTTCTTCAGAGGACCTGTGGGGAATCGCACCAGTTGCTGAGGCCGTCTAAGCACTACTTCCTTCAGGAACCAAGGAAATAGGAGCCGGCAATGACTGCAGGATGGAGGGACCACTGTGAAGCAGACTGCGGTCCTTATTCCACCTGTTGTATTAGTAACCCTCTATCCACCCCTGCGTGACTGTGGACCCCAGTGGCTTTGCTCACATACAAAAAGCCGTGAGTAAGGTCTTCTGACCTGCTTGAATGTCTGGCACAACGTCTGCTTTGACAGTGCCTGCGGCTTGTGTCACACAGAGGCTGTGCTGGCCTTGGATTGGCCTCCTCTTCTGCCTCCCAACACTGAGGCACTAGCTGAGTGCAGATACAGAAGGAACACAAGGCAGAGTAGGGCACCTAAGCCCAAGGAGTGTGGCAACTGCCACTGGAGGAACACCTGTGCCTTCCACATGGCGTCAAGGTCGCTCTGCCCTTGGGAACAGCTCTGCCACCCCTACTGGATCTTACTCCACAATAGCAGATTTCTACAGCAAGTAGATCTGCAGGAAATGAGCACATACATTTGTTTCCATTAGACCCACAGTGAGATAGGCAAAGGATGTGAGCTTATCTCTCTCTTTCATTTCAATTATCTTTTTGCTTATGTCTTGGAAAAGAGAAAATTCTGACGCCTCAATTTCTCACCTACATAGTTAACACTTCTAGAAAAATGCCTGCCCATAAAGGACAGACTCCTGAGTTTAAGGACTGTCCTGGTGCAGGCATTTGGGGTAATGGTTAAGACACTGCTTGGGTCGCCCACATCCCATATTGGAGTACCTGGTTGTGATGTGAGCTAGGTTTCCCGCAGTCCCTGTGCCTTAGCTCTGCACCCTGACCCGACCCTCCATGCCAACTCAACACATCCACTTTCCTGTGATGTGCCTGAGCCTCCTCCGTCACGAAGAAGACGCCATGATGAGCACGTATAAGCTGAACTCCACATGGAGGTGCCTTTAAACTCCCCCAGAAATCATCACACATACTAAACCCCACCCAAACGCCACCTCATTTGTATATTCAATTAGAGCACCACCCCTTATCCAATAAAGGGGCCAGCTAAACTGGGCTGCAGGTGCCTCTCCTCATGGCTTGCAGTTCTTCTCAGGGGACCTACAGTCACATCTGCATGTATATTACCTCTGTCACTTCAAATAAATCCTACTCCCATTCTTTCACTTTTATCTATGTCTCTGCTTTGAATTGCTCTCTTACTTGGAGACGAGAACTTGGAATAATGAGGGACCAGGACACCCCAACACAGCTTCCCATCCAGCTCTTGCTAACACAGACCCTGGGAGGTGGTGATGAGGGCTCAAGTACTTGGATTCCTACCACCCCCGTAGGAGACCCAGGTGGAGTTCTTGGCTCCTAGCTTTGGCCTCACCAGACTCCAGCTCTTGAGGGCATTTGGGGAGTGAACTAGCAGATGGGAGATTTCTCTCTCTGCCTGTCTTCCTGGTTCTGTCACTGTCTCTATCCCTCTGCCTTTCAAATAAGTAAAAAATACGATTGGAAAAAGAGAAGAAATCCAGAGATACCATCGTTGGCTTTCCTGGAAAGCTTGGAGGCCCCAGGTATCACAGGCCTGCTTCTTGCCCCTTCCCTGTGGCTGAGTCATCTTTCTCTCATGCCTTTTGGAGGACTTGGAGGACCAAGCATGACTCCTAGCAACAGTGTGACATCGAGCCTGACCTTTCTGGCAAGTGTGGGACAGGACACACAGTGGAAGAGGCTTCTCAGGTGAGAGAGATGGCACTGCCATCACAGGTCGCGGTGCTGTCTTGGTGCTGTAACTATACCTGAACGTATCCAGAGGAGAAAAAGCAGGAGGAACAGACACAAATCCAGGAAGTCCGTCTTTCCGTGGCATGTGGTGTTCTCAGCGGAGACCAGCCGCCGCTGCCACCCGCACTGCCGCGTGGAGCCAGCAGCCCGCAGCTTAGACAGTGTGCCTGGGAGCCTGGGGCACGTGCCCCAGAGCCCTCACCTGCTCACCAGCCTTGCTTTGTTCTCTCAAGGGCCTCCCTGCCAGTCAGGCCTCTCAAGATGTACTTTGTAATAGGAGCTGGAAATAGAAGCCTCTTAGAAATCCGCTGGGCCCCAGATACAGAAAGGAAAGGAGGCGTGGGTTGGAGAGCTCTTCCCAGGAGGGCCTCTGCACACACAGATGGGCGCCCTTCCAGGGGTGTCGTCAATGGTCACTTTGCGGTCCTTTGAAGGGAAGCCTGAGAAATATTTAAGGTTTGGCCGCTTGTCCCTAAGATGAGTGCCTTTTGTGAGAGCTGGGAGTCAATTATCCCAGACTCTGCCTTTTTTTTTTTTTTTCTTTTTGGTAAATTTTTGTTTGTTTATTTATTTTATTTATTTATGAGAGGCAAAGAGACAGAGAGAGAAAGCACACGCTCCCATCAACTGGTTTACTCCCCAAACGCTAATAATGCCTGGGCCTGAGCTAGGCTAAAGATGTGAGCAGCAGCCTCCAGCTGAGT